GGGGGAAGCAGCAACACGCGACGCCGGAGGGCACGTGTGAGCGAAGCGGACGCCGAAGGCGGAACAGCAGCGCCGGCGGTACCTCGGAGGGAGGGCGGCTCGGCAGGGCGGGCCACTAACAGCGGCGGAAGCGCGGAGGACGCGAGGCAGGCGCGGCCTTTACACCACAGACACACAGACACACAGACACACAGACACACACACACACGACAAGTTTGCACATGTGTTTGTGCAATCTTGGGCACGCACGTGCAACTTCTATGCGTATGTATGTATGTATGTATGTGTATGTATGTTTTGTCTATGTCTGTATGTATGTATGCAGGTATGTTGGTTGGTCAGTCCGTAGGTAAACACGTCGTTAAGTAGACCGGTCGGTTTGTATATCTGCATGTGTGTATGTTTGAATGCATGCACATAAGTATGTCTGTTTGGATGCATGTGCGCATGTATGTGTATATATGTAGGTAGGTCGGCCGGTCCGTTGGTAGACTGGTAACTAGGTCGGTAGGGCAGTATCTGTGAACTTATGTATGTATGTATGTATGTATGTATGATTGCATGTATGCATACATGTATGTCTGCATGTATGTATGTATGTATGTATGTGTATGTATACGCATGTGTTTGACCCTGTATGTGTGTATGTATGCATGATTGCATGTATGCATGTATGTCTGTCTGTATGTATTCATGCGCATCTGTATGTGTATATGTCTATTTCTATGTATAGGTATAGGTAGTATAGGTATAGGTATATGTATATGTATCTGTATATGTGTATGTATATGTGTATGTTTGTGTATAGGTGTATGTATATGTTTAGGTTTATGCACATGTATATGTATATGTATGTGTGTATACGTACATATCTATGTATACGCATCTGTATGTATGCGTCTATACATGCACACACGTATGTGCGTGCTGTTATCATGCACAGCTGCATACGGCGAGTCCCGCCACCGTGCCTGGGCTGTGGGTGTGAAGCCTCTTGGGTGTTTGTTGGGATGTCGTGGGGGGCCTGCGCAGTTTTGAGGCCTTTGGGGGGCAGTGTGGGACCCTTTGGGGCCTCTTTTGAGCCTCGCTGGGGCCTCTTGGGGCCTCTTGGGGGTCCTTTTCTGGAGGCCTCTAGGAGCCTCTCGGGCGCTTTGGGGTGCCTCCCGGGGGCCTCTTGCGGTGGAAGGCTCGGACTTTCTGTTTGTATTCCCTCTCTTGGGCCTCCTGTGGGCCTCTTGAGGCGGAAGGCTCGGATTTTCGGTTTGTGTTCCCCCTCTTGGGCCCCTTGTGGGGACATCTTGGGCCGTCTTGGAGTGTTTTTGGGGGCCTTCTGGGGGCCTCTTGAGGCGGAAGGCTCGGATTTTCGGTTGTGTTCCCCCTCTTGGGCCCCTTGTGGGGACGTCTTGGGCCGCCTTGGGGTGTTTTGGGGGGCCTTCTGGGGGCCTCCTGAGGCGGAAGGCTCGGATTTTCGGTTGTGTTCCCCCTCTTGGGCCCCTTGTGGGGACGTCTTGGGCCGCCTTGGGGTGTTTTTTGGGGCCTCCTGGGGGCCTCTTGAGGCGGAAGGCTCGGATTTTCGGTTTGTGCTCCCTTTCTTGGGCCCTTTTTGGGGACGTCTTGGGGCGTTTCGGCCGCCACTTGGGCCGCCTGGGGGCGCTTCTAGGCCGTCTTGGGGCCTTCTTGGGGACCTCTCGGGCTGTTGTGGGGTAGTCTTCGGGCCTCTCCGGCTGTCTTGGAGCGTCGGCAAGCCGAAAAGGCGAGAACTCCAACATCTTTCAACACTCAAGGCAAATCACTGATGTTTGCCTGTGGGGCCCTCTTGGGAGGTCTCTTGGAGGTCTCTTGGGGCGGCTCGGAGGATCGTTCGGCGACTCGGGGCCCTCTTGGACTGTTTTGAGGGCCTCCTCGGTCGTCATGGAAGCCCTGGAGAGCCCCAGGGAGGCGTCTTGGCAGCCCAGGGCTCTCCCCCTGAATAGGGGTGGTGCAGTCGCCTGGGCGTGAGGGGAGGATGGGGGGGGGGGCCTTAGAAGACTACAGACACCCTGCCAGGCAGCCCTTGGCATCGTTCCACGCCTCAACGTGCCGCAGGCACGGTGGCGGACATGTAGATACAAGACTGCGTTGGCACTTCCCTCCACGCACCTTGGTCCTCGAAGGTTGGCAATCAGACGGAAGGGCAGAGAGGTAAGGTTGACAACTTAGCGATATTGCCTTGTTGCCTTTCCGGCATCATCGCATATATGGATGGATCGTTCGGTGTGTGTATATATATATATATATTTGTACATACACAGAAATCGATATTGCTATACTCATACAATTACATAATTACATATATATACATATATATATATATATATATATATATATATATATGTATAGAGAGGCATAACACACATACATATATATATATGCACATATATATATATATGTGTACATCTCCTTCTGTACATCTATGAATATTCCGGTGGGGTGCGACCCCCCCCCCCCGAAACGGGACCCCCCAGATCCGTGGCACGGGGGGAGGCCAGAATCCTTACCAAGCCGTGCGCGCAGGTTGGTGGCAATCCCAAATCGATCTGCGAAAGGCCCAAGAGCCACCCAAGACGGTCCAGGATGGCATCCAGCTAGCCTTGACCCCCGCCAGATGCCCGAAGATCACCCCAATGTCACCCCAAAGAGGCGTTCGAACCCCAGAAACATTGATGTTTCATTGGTTTGTGTATGGTTTTCGGATACTCGCTCATTCGGCCTTCCACGCGTCCGAGAACATTGGAAACGCATTGAAAACCGCTCCTAGACGGCCCAGATGAGCCCCATGAGCGCCCGAAGCGGTCCCCAGACTGCCCACAAGAGTCCCCTAAGACCGCCCAAAACCCAAAACTGACCCCACGACGGCTGGCCCAAGGCCTTAGAGACGCCACAAACGGTCCAAGGTGGCATCATGCGGTCCAGGCCCTTGCTGGATGCTCAAAGGCGCTTCGAATGACACCTCCAAGAGGCGATCGAAACCCTGAACATCTTTACTGTTCTGTGGTTTTTGTATGCTTTTTCGACTATGTCCTCATTCGGCTTGCCAGGCGTCCGAGAACGCTAGCGAGACACCGAAAAACTTTCCCGACTCCAGAATACCGTACGGGGGCCCAAGACGGCTTCTAAACTGCAAGCGGCCCCATGACCGCCCCAAATTGACCCCCAAGGCGGCCGGCGGAAGGCCCAGGACACGCCCAAGATGTCCAAAATATCATTAGGTTGGCCTTGGGTCTCGTCTGATGCCCTGAGGTGATCCGAAAGGTACCTCCAAGACGCGCTCGAATCCGAAAAACACTGATGTTTCAATGCTGTCGTACGATTTACTACCTTTCGTTCCTTCGGCTTGCTGGGCGTCCGAAAATATTGTCAAAGCTCCGGAACACTTCTCCAACTAAACCCAACCGCGCTTCCTGAATTGCCAAAGCGGCCCCGTGAGGGCCCGGCAAGGCCTCAAAACTGCCCATGGGCGGCGCCCTGACGACCAGGGGAGGCCCCAACACGAGCCAAATCAGCATCCTCACTCTTTAGAAAGGCGCCATGAGGGCCCTAGACGACTCCCAAACTGCACATAGGCGGCTACATGACAGCCCGGGGACACCGTCTGGACGCTCCTCAACAGGACCCCACCCAGGAATGCCAGCTCTCCAGGGCGCCTTCTCAACGTTCACCCAAGCGTGCAAACGGGAGAGCGGCAGTCCCAAGACGCCTCGATGACAGTCCGAGGTGGTTCCAAGATGGGCCACAATGCCCTCACACCGCTTCGGCAGGCCCCCATGTAGATCCCGGAGTTCTCGCCCGCTCAGATGGTATTGTCTTGCGGAAAGCCGCAGTTTGCCCACACCCCCATGTCCGCAACCACTTTTCTGGAAATTCTGTTGCGCATCCAGGATTTCAGCAATTCCAATCTACGCCATTCTGTGCGGCCGTTGTCTCCGATTCACAGTCTTTGCCCGTCCCAAGTTGACTGCCCCCTTCTCCCCTTCCCCCGCTTCTCCGTGATTCGAGCCAGCGAGCACGCCTCAAAGGGAAAAGAGGAAGGCGCGACAGGCCAACCGTTCCAAAGCTCAAGGAACAATGTGCATGGCGCGAAACGCCAACGCAGCCTTCTATAATAAATGCATATGCAGAAGTACCGTTGAGTGAGTAACAACCGATGCATACATAACTATACATATATGTGTACTTATGAGTATAACCATCCACTCATACGACACACATGCATACATGCACACAATCATACATGCATACGCACATATAGTTAATCGTAAACATAAGCATCTACATATACATTTGTGCATGTAAATATGCACATCTATATGCACATGTCTATACATGTTCGTAAGCATGCAGCGGTGTATAGGCATACGTAGATATGTAGGTACATATGTTTGTATGAATATATATATATATATATATATACATATCGAGCGATACAGATATACCGATATAGATGTTTTATCATATCGAGAGAGAGAGAGAGCGAGAGAGAGAGGGAGAGAAGGAGAGAGAGAGAGAGAGACAGAAAGAGAGAGAGAGAGAGAGAGAGAGAGCGAGAGACAGAGACAGACAGAGAACCGGAGAAGTAACAAGCAATACCTGAGCCATCTCTTGTATGGAAAATGCACTGCGGGCCGTCTCCTCGCGTGCCCCCCTGGAGACATGGATTTCCTCAGGCCCGAACTTGGAAGAACTAGCTCCATGTCTCTGTTTTGGGGTCGCCAGCGATCAGGGTCACAGGGGGGCCCCAGAGGCCTGCAGCGGTACCCGCGGGGCCTGGAGACGGCTCTGGAGGCTAAGCCTTGGTATCGCTCGGACGTGTGCATTTTTTCTTCGGCGAGGACCATCGAGGAGCATCCTTGATCATTTCGCACGAAACCGAAAAATGCACAGGAAATGGACGCCCGAGCGATGGCCAGAAGCTGCAAACGCCCAGTCAGATCGCACTTCGAACCTCACCGGCCGTCCAAGAGGCTCATGAAGCTCCGGCCGGTCTTCACGATGGAGCTTGCCAGGATAAAGAAGCTCCTGGAGACCGCCTCGAGCACGGCCAGCCCTCCCGTCTATCTCTCATTTGGTCTCTGGTGTTTCTTCACGGCTTGTATGCTGAGATTGCTTCGTTATTGTTTCTATATATATATATATATGTATATATATTGTGTCTTGTTCAGGAGGAGGCCTTCGGGCGGTCCGCGTGGAGGAGCAGGAGCAGGAGGACGGGCAAAGGGAGGTCCAGACTTAAGCTGTTACGGGGGCAAAGGGAGGGAGGGAGGGAGGGACGGCTGAAAGTGGAGGAGGGGCTTGAGCCGTCGCTTGTCGGACTTCCCTTCCGAGCCGATGGACCGCGAGGTACGGAGCAGTTGAGGGAGTCTTACGTTGCGAGGCTCTGCTGCCAATCGGATGGGAGAAGGACAAGGAGGGACGAGGAGGAGGAGAAGGAGGCGGCGGCGGAGGATGAGGAGGAGGGAGTATTTAGTGACGGAGGTATGGCGGTGCGGAGGAGCAAGAAGGAGGCGGAGGATTTGGAGCATACGTAGGAAGGAGGAGGAGGAGAAGGAGGAGGAAGAGGAGCAGGGAGGGAGGAGGAAGAGGAGCAGGGACGAGGAGGAGGAGGAGGACGAGTGTAAACCCACGAGCCATCAACGATGTTGGAAAACACCCTCACTCCAAGCTCCCTCTTCATAGGCCCCTACAACGGTTCATTTCCATTGACGGGTCTTCTTCGTTGGAAGACAACCGTTTGAAGACCCGGAAGCATGCCGAAACATGGTTCTCGGTATTCCAACGCTACGGGTCAATTTGACTGTTGCGTCTTGACGATCCTGGATGGTGCCAGAACGCAAATCCTGGGCTTTTCAACACCGTGAATCAGCGTAACTGTTGCGCCCGCAAAATTCTGAATCCTTCCAAAGCGCTATTTCTGTTACGTTGATCGTGGGACTCCTTGAAACTCTTGCGAATGTTATGAACGAATGTGCGCGGCGCTAAGGCGAGAGCCACATTTTGAAAAGGTACCGCCCCCAATCCGTGAAGCTCTTGCAGATGTTATGAACGAATGTGCGCGGCGCTAAGGCGAGAGCCACATTTTGAAAACGGGTTATCCTCAACCCGTGAAGGTTTTGCAACTTCTCAGAACGAATGTGCGCGGCGCTAAGGCGAGAGCCACATTTTGAAAACAGGTTATCCTCTGAAACTGTGGCAAATGTTGAAAAGTAATGTGCGTGGCGCTAAGGCGAGAGTCACATGTTGACAACCACCCGCTCTCCATCAGAGAAGCTGTTGCCAATTTTGAAGCTTCAGAGTCATAAGTGGTGAAGGAAGTCTCAGACGAAACGCCCGGCCCGCACTAAAAACTGGCCTCGAGGTGTGAAAGGGAGAAGCTATTTATCAGAAAAAGAAATGGAGGGACGAGGAGGAGGAAGACGAGGAGGAGGAGGAGGAGGAGGAGGAGGAGAGTTAGGAGAGTGCGAATCAGCATCTCGAGCGACCCGCGCTAGTCCCGAGGGGGGAAGGACAGGCAGCAGCCGCCAGGCGGAGCAAGCCAGCATGTACATGTGCACAGGGAGTCGCGAAGATGGGTAGCCACAGTAATTCGCGCACGTGCGAGAGCACTGCAGGAACACGCATCGTGGCGAGAGAGCGCGGCATGTCTCCCACGAGACTACGCAGGAGAGGTGGGCAGGACAGCGTCACTTCCGCGCATCAGGTCGCTCGTGCGTTCGTGGCGTCTGCACTTCGCTAGTCCTTACGCATCACCCACACAGAGCAGCATTACACCACCACCAAGGCCATCCTGGGCCCGAAGATGGCGTGAATACCCTCCTTGGCGAGACCAGGAGGTTGGTCGCATGGTTGTGCACACCATCCCAGGGCACGGCCCAGGCAAGGGATCCACTGTGGTAGCATGCAGCCGCCGCTCCCAAGTAGCATTTCCGCCAGGCCAGGCACCAGCATTGCCTGCTTGGCGTCGCGCACCCCGCCGCAACCTTGCTTCAGGGGCAACTTTCGGGCGGGGTAGACTCGAGGGGGGTGCATCGACCCCCACTCGCCCATTGACCAGGGCCTGATAGCTCACCCCACCCAGGACAGTGCGGATTCCTTCTCAGGGGCCTATCGCCGATCGATCGGCGATGTGTCGTCGATTCCAGTTCGATGTTCCCTTCCTTGAGCGGGTGTGAAGGGGGGACGTCGGCGATGTGTCGTCGATGTCCCCCCTTCACGCCCCCCCTCCATGCTGATCCGGTGTGGCGCGGCCGGCGACTGCTGGTGACCAGGCCTCCATGGCACCGCTGCCACTTGGCCAAAGGTCAGCAGGGCTGGCCAGGCGTCGCGCGGGCCGCGATTGCTGGACGCCAGACGTCCCAGGCACCGCTGCCAACGCGCCAGGGTGGCCCAGCGTCGCGCGGCCCTCCGCGACCCTGCTGGACGGCTGGGCCTCGCGCGGCCTGCGGCTGCTGGAAGCTAGGCTTCACAGCACACCGCTCGCTGCCGTCGTGCCAGCCGACGGTCAGGCCAGCTGGGAGTCGCGCGTCCCGTGACTGCTTGTGCAGCGTTGAGGGGAGGGCTCTTGGAGGGGCTCCTTCCCCTCCCTGTCAGTGGTGTTTGAAGTTGCTTTCCTGGCAGCCGAATGTTCTCTCTCTCTCTCTCTCTCTCTCTCTCTCTCCTGGGGCGTGAAGAGTTCGACAAGCACGGGCCCTCATATTTGTCATCACCGGCATCTTGCCAAGTCAGCGAAAATTTTCGGATGCCGTCGATTGCTCCCTCTTCTCCTGTCCCGCCTCGCCTCCACCCGGCCCCTTGCCCCTCAGTAAGCAGGCGGAGCGCCGTCCCAGCGTCGAAGCGGCCGCGGCGCGCAGGCAGCCCATGAGGCCGCCACTGCGAAGCAGAAGGCTCTAGAAGAGCGCGATTCCAAGGACCTGCAGGACGGCCGCACCGCGCCGCCGGCCGCTGTTGCTGCCAGGCGCTCTTCCTGCCAGTGCCAGTGTCGCCGCTGCCGCTGCCAGCTCATGCCAGTACTGCTGCCGCAGCTGGTGCGGTAACCGTTGGTGTTGCCATTGTTACTGCTGCGGCTGATCGGCTGTAGCTGATGCTGCCCGTACTGCTCATGATGACGGTGCTGCGACCACTGCGTTCACTACTACTGCTCTACTGCTGTCCCTGCTGCCACTGCTGCATGCAACATTGCTGCGTCTACTGCTGCTGCTGCTGTATCTTTGCTGCGAATGGTGGCACTGCAGCTGGTGCTTTTGTTGGTATTGCTGCTCCTGCAGTGCACCTGCTGCTCATCGTATCCCGCATTATCGTGATTGCCGCCGCTACTACTCTTGCTGATATTCGGCGGCTGAAGGTACTACTGCTGTTTTTGCCGAGTGGCTTCCACGGTTGTTGCTGCAGTTATTTGCTGTGTGCTACAATTGCCTGGACTGCTGCTGGTACGGCTGCTATCGCCGCCGATTGTGGCGTCGTTGGTGATAACGATATGTGAACTCCCTTACTGCCACTGCTATCAGTAGAATCACACTTGCTGCTAGGACTATTGCCCGTGTTGACGATGCTGCAACCGCAGCCGCTGTATTTATGGCCGCTCGTGTTATTGACGCTTCTGCTGCAATACGTCTGCTTCTCTTGGTGCTCCACTGCTGCCATTATTTTGCTTCTATTGTCAGCTGCTACCACTGGCGCCCTGCTGCTGCTACTTGGATGGCGTTCCGATGGTCTATCCCGTGGTGTACCGATGGTTTTCTGAAGTTGTTCCGCTGGTGCCCCGATGGTGCCCCAGGGATCAAGGTAGTGATAATCAAGAGACGCATTATACAGACATAATATTTAGGCAGATTAAGATTCAGACTCCCACGTAGACTGGCTTTCAGCCGAGAAGCAGGTTTGGGATTGAGGATGCGGTTTGCGTCAGTTGAGCACGTCTCCCAACGGGGTGCCAGTGGCATGTTGGCCAGCGCTCAAATGTCATGATTAAATTGGCGCTACATGATCGCTTGAATGATTATGACAAGGAGCGGGGCACCATCGAACCTTCATCTTATTCCTCCTACCTCCCTCTTGTTTCCTCTTGCCTGCTTCCCCAGCCATCCCATTATTCCCTTCTGTGCAATGCTGTGCTACGCAGTGCAAGTCACAGCTGCTTGTTGCCGCTTGCCCTCATCCTGGTTTCTTCGAGCATGCCACCGCTTGCTCCACCTCTCCCCTTCTCGTTTGGTTCCCATCGGTGAATGAATCGGGGCACAATCGGGACACCATCGTTGAATCAATCGGGGCACCAAGCGGGACGCCACGGTCACAGCAATTGTGACACCCATCTGGACACCATCGTGAAGTAAATCAACCAGGGCATTGTCGAGCATCAATTGGGAGGCCATCGGGGCACCCTAGATAGAATGGGACACCAATCATACATCGGATCACCGTCGGGTCATCATGGTTAAACCTTTCGGAACGCCGTCTCAAAGGAATCGCTACACGATTCGGGCACGATCGAATATCAATTGGCGCGTCATCGGGACGCCATCGCAAAACCAAGGAGGACGTCATTGGATCATCATGTTGGATGCCATTGAATCGGGTACCATCGTTATAAGCCAATCGAGGCATCATCGCAAAATCATCGGATTGAGGTTGGGATATGCAGCCGACGTGACACGGAGGTCACCAGCGGGAAGCATGTTCGTGGTGTGGCGCTGGTTCGGGCGAAACGAAGTTGCAAGAGGGCGGGAGAGATTCTGGCCTAGGTATGGGGTTTATCATGTCGAAGTGAGCCGTCCACTGTCTGGCCGTGGCTCCAAAGGTTGTCCCGATAGTTGTCCCGCTGTTGCCCCGATGGTTGCTTTGATGGTTGTTCTGGTGGTTGTTCTGGTGGTTGTTCCGATCGCCGTGCCGATTCTTGTCCCGATGTGTGTCCCAGTGGTTGTCCCGCGGTTGTTACATGGTTGCCCTGTCGGTTATCGCGTTTGTTTCTATTGCGGGCTTTTCTTGGTTGTCCCACGCTAGGTGTTTCACCGTGCTTGTCCCACGGCTGATATGTATGTAGTGGGGCCGAGAGTGAGATCGATAGATCGATTGGTCGTGATATGTGCATTTTGATATTGAAACCGGTAGGTAAGGAGACTGGAAATCCGGTATGTCTACATGTTCAGTGATGTCAAAAGACAGAGTTATTGAGATATCGGTATACCGGTAGCGCTACTAGTAGGCAGTTACCTCGGCATGTTTGCTGCATATTCAATTCATAGTGTAGCAAGCAGACAGTGGATTGGCAGATAGTTCGAGTGGAACACAAATTTGAGACCCGCAATTTGGTAGTGGGACCTGTAATCAAGTATGGTTACCGGCAGGTCATAACAATTAATCGATTGATAGGGTGATATCCACATTTGTCGACACTAATAGGCCAGCGCATGCATCGTAGCCATATCGGACGATGACACTGATATCGACATATCGGTAGTGATATCGACGGGTTGATAGTGAGGCCGACCGTGAGATCGATGCAGATACAGTGAGCCCGATGTGGTTTTCATTTTCATACATGTATACCGGTTGTGAGGCCGATACGCACTTCCGAAAGACCTGGTGCACAATAGGTTCATCGATGTGTAGTATGACCTACAGATCGATCGATCGATCGACGGATCGGTAGTGGGATCGATTGATGCGTAGTGAGACCGGTAGACGTTGTCATCGGTAAACAGTGACTGAGACGGTTCGACCGATGGGTTGCGGTTCTTAGTCGATGCCAATCTCAAACCGAAAGTTGCACCCATCCTCCAATTTCCTCACCCGAAAGGTGCTCGAATCGGAAAAACAAAGAGTATTAATCTGTACGCACGCCATCGTGACACTATCGATTCAATGATTTGGGACACCGTCAGCACACCATCACCGTCGGGACACCATGTGGATACCGCACCGGCCCCGCCCGCCGCAGAAGGGGGAGAAATATTTCTGTCCGCGTTAGGGAGCCTGGGCACAGCTGAGCACGGACGTCACGCACGGCATGACAGCAGACACTTTTTTGGCGGGGGCGGCTTCCGCAATTCTTCGGCCCCCCTGCTTTTCCCATTTACAGTCGGGGTCTTGAAGAAGGAACCCTTTTCGTTGGGGAGGGGCTCGGCGTTCCTTGATTGTTTTACAGTTCGCCTTTTGTTTTCCATAGGGTTTCCATGGGACATCGAAGTTTATCTTACGGGAAAAAGGGGCCTCGTTCCTTATTTAGGGTTCCTTAGGTCAACGCCCCGACTGTAGTGCCAGCAGTCAGTCGTCCTACGAATGATGCCCGGGAGATGAGGCCCCCTCTGCGCGGTGCTGTGTGCCACGGGCCTGCTCTCATCGGTCAGGAGCTGGACGAGCCGGGGCCCGAGGGCTGGAGACCCGACGCCACAGAAGCGCCGGTCGGTGGTTACGAAGGGCCAGGATCTCCGTAGACGGGCCAACGGCGGTGCAGGTAACGGCGATGTAGGTATCGGTAGTGTGGAAAGGCGTGGCACGCGCTTTCCTACAATTCACTGTGTCGTGCTCGCTCGATGCATTTGCAGAGTGGGACTGTGGGAAAGTGTGGTTCGCGATGTCCTGCAATTTGGTTCCCAACATCACCGTTAAGCAACATCGCCGTTAGCCCAGCCTTGGGATCTGGGGCGCCCTCGGAGAGACCTCGCTTTGCCGCGGGCCAGCTGAGCTTTCATTCCACTCAGCGCCATCCGGGGGCGACCGACTTCCGAAGCGGCCCCCCGAAGGGCGAGCTTCGCTCTGGTCCAGCCCGCCTTAACATCTTCGGCTTTCCCACCCGCTCCCCCGCCGCAGTTAACCTCCCGAGGAAGTGTTTTTCGTAGACCCCAGCGTTGAAAGCGCGCAGGACGCGCTCCCCGCCTGCAACGACCTGGTCAACGCTGCCGAGGACACGACGGAGTCCTTGGGCATCTTGGCAAAGCCGCTGATGGACGACCTTCCGGACAGGGCTGTTGGCACAATGGGATTGCACGGGTGTTTGGATTGGACGACGGGTGGTAGATCGTAGTATTGTAATTCGGGAAATTCAGAGGGTGTGCGTCTGCGACCCATGACGAACCCTACCCCTGCCAGGCCAATCGACGAGGGGTATCCGACGCCCCTGCTGGAGTCCCCTTGGCTGCGGACATCCTGCGAATTCTGAACCCCAGCCGGCGTTTCAGAAATTCGGCCCGGGGGGGCATGGCTCCCACGTGTCAGGTGTTGCTAGAAGTGCCCTTGGCCCAAGGTGCCCCCAGGATTTCCGAGGAGACCCCACGGCCTTCAGGGCACCCCCCACGACTCCCAGATGGCCCCAGGGGCTCCAAAATTGAGCGAGCAGCTGGGGGCACCTTGTCTCGGCATCGCTCGGCCGTGTGCGTTTTTTCCTCGGCGAGGACCATCGAGGAGCATCCTTGATCATTTGGCGAAAAAGCCACGCACGAAACCGACAAAAAGCACACGGAATGGTCGTCCGAGCGATGGCGAGTTGTGCCAGGGGCACTCTTGGCAGCCCCCGAACGTGGGGCTCGGGACGCTGCTCAGGCTGCCTGCCACCGGTGTCGGAGGCCCAGGGGCTGACACCAACACCAATCTCGGCGATGTGCCTCCACCGATCTCGGTGATGGTGGTCATTTTCGGGCTTCCGAGGTGGCCGAACTATGACCACCAGCACCAAAATCTAGGATCACCCTCCCCTGGGTAGAGGCAACCCTCGGCATTGGTGTTGGTGCCCCTTTCTAAGCCTGCCACCAGCATTAGCGTCCCAGGGGGGCCGCTGTGCAGCGCCCCACGGAGCCTGCCGTGGCAGGGCGCCGCCACGGCAGCGCGCGCCCGGCAGCTCTCTCCGCGGAGAGCGCTCGCGGCGGGCTCCGGGACTCCACCGCCTCCTCGGACGCTCTCGTGGAGCGCGGGCTCTCAGGCGGGCTCCCAGGAGAGCCTCCCGCCCGTCCTCTCACCACCGGGGGCGGGGCGAGGGGAGGGGGGAAGGGGGGCGCGAGGAGGAAGGAGGACGGAGGAGGGAGGGAGTGTGAGAGGGGGAGGAGGGGAGGAGGGGGGCGTCGTTGCTCCGAGTATGGCTGTTTGAGAGTTCACCGAGAGGCCGTCGCTGCGTTCACCCATCTCCTACTCCTGCTCCCCTCCTACTCCTCTTGCAGGATGACGAGGAGAGTCGAGGATGAGGAGCAGGATGAGGGAGGGGAGAGGAAGTAACGAGGGGGATGGGTGAGGGTAAATGTGTGTGGGGGGGCAGCGATGAGGGGAGGAGGAGTAGTAGGAGGAGGAGGGGTGGAGTATGATTGTCGAAGATGTGGACCGAGGATCGGGGCGTTGGGCGTTCTAGGCCGCTTCGGCTCTCCTGGGGCGCCCTCCTCGTAGCCGCGGCTCGATACACCTCAAGCCGCGATCGCGGTGGAGCTGGGGCTCGAGAAGAGGGGGATCCGCCAGCCCCCCTCTCGAGCCCTTGCTTAGGAATGTGGGAGGGTTCACGAGCGATGAGCATATCTGTAGCCAGGTCGTCGTTGTCTGGATACGTGGTATCATGAATGCGCTCCGCGTTGGGCATCCGCGCATCGCCACCTTGCATCCGTGTGGGCCGAGGTATCGGGACCGCCAGGTGGCGGAGTTTGACAGGTGTCCCGCTCGATGAGTATGCCAGGGAGCCTTGCCATACGAAGAAGGCGTTCGCCGCAGTCTGTATGCAAAGAGGACTGTGGATCAAGTCATCTCAAGCAGTCTGTTCTAGAACCCTCCCAGAGCGCGCGGAGCACTCTGGAGCGCCCCCTTGCACCTGGTACATTCCTGGTCCGCCAGCTCTGAGAGATCCCCGAGCTACTCGTATCCGATTGCTTGTTCCTGGTTCTCATCCCAGGCCTAATCCTAGCGCTGATCCTAGATCACCTCGTCCTTCTCCGCCTCGTCGGCGTCGCCGTTCTTCTTCTCCTCCTGCAGGGCCCGCCAACAGGGGAGCTCTACGAGATCGGGTGTGCGCTTGCATCCAAGAAGTCATAGTGCTAGTCTTAGTGCGGCACCTGCTCCCAGTCCGAGTTATTTTCTTAGTCCGAGTCCTAGTCCTTGTCCAACTCCCAGGCTTATTCCAGTCCAAGTCATGGTCCTCCTAGTCCTCCAAGTCCTTCCAGTCATCCCAGTCTCCTTCGTTCTCGTCCTCCAGTCCTCCAGTCCTCCTAGCCATCGTCATAGTCCCACCCTGTACTGATGATCGCTGTCCTGGGTAGCAGACCTAGCCGTCATCAAGGTCGTAGTCGCAGTCCCAATCGTAGTCGTGGTCTTGGCCCTTATCCCAATCCTGAACCTTGTGCTCTTCGTCGTCCTCGTGTATTTCATGACTTCTCATCCGCTTCGTCGTCCTCCTCCTCCTCCTCCTCCTCCTCCTCCTCCTCCTCTCCTGCTCCTCTTCCCCCCATCCCCTCCAATTTCCTAATCCGCATCCACCTCTCCCTCCGCGTCTGGCTCTTACGGCAGAAGCATACAATTGGTGGTAAGGTCATCATAGTATTGTCGTGAGCATAACCAAGTTCATGTCTGATGCCATTTGTGCAACGCGATTTCAAGGCCGAGCGTGGACTGGGAGGAATATGATGGTTGTCAGAGCATGCGGGGTCGCAGGACGACGAGGGTGAGCTCTTGAACGACTCGATCGTCGAAATCGAGACGGCGGCCGCGGAGGCATCAAGCAAGATCAGCGAGGCGCTGTGCAACTGCTCTGGGGCTTATCATTTGAAACTGTTTCAGTTCTGTCTGCGAGCCTCTTTGACACCTGGGCCGATTTCGGATTTGAGCCTCACCCATTGGCAGATATCGTGGGAGGTGCCTGGACTTTGTTCCCCTCGCTTATGTTTCAGTGTTCAAACAACTGGCGCTTAAGGGTGAAGGCCACAAAAACGATATCCTTTGTCGGGTAGCTGAGATCGCTCAATGTTGAAGGATCTACGAGGTGTCTGATCCCATCGTAAACGCAGGAACCGGTCGTACTTGGAGCTGTTGCTTCAAGTTGGGACGACTTAGTGTCAGTCTTGTTCTCAGCCGACAAGCGGGAGGCACTTTTAGTCATCAGTGTGCGCTGTGCGGAGTGGCGGTGCGGTCAATCGACTGACTATTTGGATGTATACATTCTGGCCGCGTGTCAGTCTTATGTCTGATTGGTGTGGGGTAGTCCGTGTTGTGTTTCGCAGGTGGTTATCCCGATCCTTACCTCACTTCCTCATCTTCCACCGTCACTTCCTCCTCTCTGGTAGGCATCATCAGTCTTGTCATTCTCCCCCCCTCTTCCACTCCCCCTCGTTCGCTTCGTCCTCCCTGGATGGTCCTCTCCTCACCACCTCCTACTCGGTGGTATCCTACGCGAGACTCATATCCCGGGCCAGTCGAGTGGCGCACGGCTGCGCCGCAACATAATCAATTTCCGCACGCTCGCACGTGTGCAAATCGTCTATTGAGAGAAGGACTGGAGGGAGAAGGACACGGAAGACGGCGACGAGGTGCATGGTACGAAGCATGAGAGGAGTAGGGAGAGGGCGACGAGGAGGAAGGGGGTAAGACGACGAGGCATGTGAAACGGTCAGCAGGAGCAGGAGGAGGAGGAGGAGGAGGAGGAGGAGCAGGATGAGGTCGATTACGAAGCGAGCCAGCAACAGCAGGAGAAGGATGATGATGACGACAAGGAGAATCGGGCGTAGCATCCAGCAGATGGAGGAAAGGCAAGATGCACAGGACAGTGCTTGTCGTGCACGGCAAGGGTACCGATCCAAACTATGCCTTGTTTGATGGTAAGTGTCCGGCGGCCACTGTAAACATTGCAATGGACCAGTAGTGCACTCCATGTCATACAGAAGATACCATGCGAAGCATGCTGCGCGCAGGTGGGCCACCATGTGCTCCCCCCACGCCACCTACGCGTTACAGGCTCAACTCGCGTGTAGCATGAGTTACGCTTGGTGCTCGAGCAAACATCCCACCCTCAATCTGTTGGCAAACCTGAAGCTCCGGCGGTTGGGAATTGCAGTTCCGAAGTCGCTCGGAATTCCCAGAACCCCAAGCGGTGGTGACGGCGGTGACGTGCGTCCCGATTGGCCGGTTAGCATCGCGAAGCGGTTGGGGAACATGCCCGGGGGCCCCGCGTGGCGGCGATGGCAGCGCCGCGCAGCCCCGGGCCCGGCGGGCGTGCAGCGCGGGGGACCCACGGGGCTCAACGCGACGGGGGCGGCGGCGGCTTGCACCCGCCAGGGCCAGTGGGCGGCGCGGGGTGGCCGGGGAAGGCCCGGGCCGCCCCGCGGCGGCGGCGACGGAGCGCACGGGGGCCCCCCTTGGGCCACAGGGGCTCGCGCAGCGCGGCGGCGTGCGCCAGGGGCGCCGCGCGGCGGCGACAGCAGCGGTCCCGCGCGGGGCCCGCGGGGGGCACGGAGCGCGGGGAGCGCGCGGGGGCCCCGCGCGGCGGCGACGGCCGCGGAGCGCAGGGATTCGCCACGGCCTCGCGCCGCGGTGACGGCTGCGGCGTTCGGCCCCCAGGCCCAGTGGGAGGCGCAGGGGCCCCGCGCGGCTGCGACGGCGGGCAGAAGCACGCCGCTCGCAGGTCCGGCTTCTCCGTGGCCCGGCTGGGATGCCTCGGAAGCCCTTGGCGCAAGCACCGCTTGGGGAGTGAGCCGATCGGGGCCTGTCTGCAGAGGCCTGCACTTTTCCCCAGCCCTCCTGTGGTGTTGGGCCCTCGTTGCGAACTCGCAGCGGCGTGTGTCTCCTCCTCTTCCTGCCCCTCCTCATGCCTCTGCCCTCCGCGTGGCCATGCAGACGCACCCTCTCACATGTTTCGTGCCCCCCCACCCCCCCGGGGACTTCCGCTTGCGTGCGGCCCCCTTGGAAAAGTTGCACGGCGCACCCGCCTCCTCTTCGGCACACCCTTTACACGTCTCTTGGCTTCATAGGGAGCTCCGCTTACGGCCGCACCGTGAAAGGTTGTATGCCTGGATGTCGTCGCAGCCTCACACGTTTCGTGCCCTCTGGGAAGCTCCAACTGCGACCCCGGTGGAAAAAGGTTGCATGGCGCACGCGGGCCCAAGTCGGCACACGCCTCAAACGCTTTGTGCCCCCGAGGGGGCTCTGCGCCCCCCCAACTCATACCACTCACACACTTCGTGCCCCTTAGGGGGCTCCAGCTACGGCCCCAAAGGCAGGGTTTGCAAGGATCGTGCCCCTCGGGGAGCTCCACTGCCGGCTCCAGCTGGAACGTTGTGCATGCTTCCCACATATTTGGGCACATCCCTCACACGGTTCGTGCATAGAGAGGTTCACAACCAACGTTGCATGAAGTTGCTAAGGGCTGTGTTCTTCGACAGGTTTTTGTGTGTGTGTGTATGTGTTTTTTGCGGGGGGCTTGGCTTTCGGACATCGTGAAGATGTAGGCAGAGTCTGGCATGGTGCAATACAGCGTATGATCCAGAGCTCAGGTCCCCTACATTCTGATACCTTCGACCCCCTCCCCGCGCGATGGGTCCGCGCCTCCCGTGGGCGTGGCGTGGTGAACCCCCCCCTGTGTGCCTTGGGTGGTGGGGGATGCCGGTGCCCCCCCCTTCCCTCCCTCTATGGGTGTGGGGTGGTGCTGCGGTGTCGTCGTCGTCGTCGTCGTCGTCGTCGTCGTCGTCGTCGTCGTCGTCGTCGTCGTCCCCCCTATCTCATCTGGGGAGGGGCCTGTGGGGCTCTGGGACCCATCTCATCTGGGGAGGCCCGTGAACCCTCAATCCTTGAGCATGTATAGTGCACGTTCGGGTAATTTGCTCAGATCTTAGTGATTCTCCGAAGTCGTTGAACTGGGAGCGTTGAACTGGTGCAGCGAGTAATGTGAGGAAGACGCGTGAGTTGGTAAGGTCGGGGAGTCACACGCTATGACAGACAATGCCTTGAGTACATGAGCCCCTGCCAGAACTGTGGCCACTACGGTGAAAGCGAGACCACATTACACGGTTGAGACGCAGTCCGCACGTTGGTAAGAACATGCAGGGCGTCCAATCCCAGCGGCCTGATCCCGACGTCGCGAACCTTTGGACAACGTGTGTATTGCAAGCGGATGTCCATCGCGTTCCGGCTGTCGTTTGAAGAGGCGAACTCCTCTCCTCCAGGGAGTGCGTGTGTTGGGGGGGTGTCATGTTCGACATGCTCTCGCACTCTACCCTCATGCCCGCCTGGTACAGTGGAATTCTCGAGTGCTGCCCCAGACCAGCGCAGGCCAGGGCTGAGGATGCGAACCGCTTCGGGCACTCCCGGGCGCCCTCCCTCCGCGCAGCCCTCCTGAAGAGAGAGCGGGCGAGGCCCGGAAGTACATCAACCAGAAGCTGCAGGATGCCAGGAATCCGCGCCCTCCCCCTCGCGAAGCCCTGTGGCATACGCGGCCTCCTCCTCCTCCTGCTCCTCCTCCTCCTCCTCCTCCTCCTCCTGCTCCTCCTCCTCCTCCTGCTCCTCCTCCTCCTCCTCCTCCTCCTCCTTGTCGCGTGCCTCCAGGGGCTCCTGGTGTCTTCCCGCGTGACCCGTTCGGGCCCCGAATCGACGACCGATCGGCCCAAGACGCCCAAGATGGCCTGAAGACGGCCGAGGAGGCGCCCCATACGCCCCCTCCCCTCCCCTCCTGAGCAGGACGGCGCGTGCGGCGCCGCGTCCACAGTGGAGCTGCCGCCCCGAGGTGGCGACGGCGCAGGCAAGCTCTCGTGTACCAGGAACGCTGTCCTGGCCCCCGGCCGCTGCGCACCGAGAGGCCACTTGTGTGCACCGGGGCCTCCCCGGAGCCTTTCCGCAGCTTCCTGGCCCTCCCCAGAGCTTCTGGGTGGGTTCCCAGCGGGTTCCAAACGGGCCCAGACGGCTTCCGGACGGCCCCAGGTGGCACCAAGACGGCCCAAGAGGCCCCCAACACGCCCCCAGACGGCACCAAGAGAAGGCAAAAAGTGTCCCAGCTCTCCAGGGAAGTGCACATGCCTCGTACATCTTCTGTCTTCATGCGCACAGCGTCCCAGACGGCCCCAGGAGCCCCCAGGAGAGCCCCAAGACGGCCGAAGAGGTCCCCAAGACGGCCCAAGAGGCACCCAGGACCAGCCAAGACGGCCTCAAGAGGGCCCTAAGAGGGGCCCCAGGGGGGGGGGAATGCGAACCCACATTTCGAGGCCACCGCCCCAAGAGGACCCCGAAGACCGCCGGCAGGCCCCCAAGCACTCCCCCATAGGACCCAGGCCGCCCCAGAAAGGCCCGAAGGGGGCTCCGCAAGGCGCCCCAAGAGGCTCCAGAACTGTTTCCACCAGGCTACCCAGAGGCTTTTCGCAAGACCCGAACCGTTCAAGATGTCGCACGCCAACCACCCAGGCATGGCGGCGAGATGGGCAGAAGGCCACCGGGAGGGGCGCGCGCGAACGAGGGGCACGGTGGCCCCTCGTTTTTTGTCCTCATTTTTGCGCTTCGTCTTCAGAGGCTCCGCTTCTCCTGCTCCTGCCCTTCCTTGCCGTTCTGCGCTCGTCTTCGTCACCGCCATGCTCCTGGACTCTTCTCGACCTCCAAACCGCCCCTTTCGTCCTCTCCGTCGTCCTCCTGGAGACCTCCGTGCTCAGGGAAGGGCTGTTTACGACATGTTCCCGCTGCGTGTTCGTACCAGACACACAAAGTCCAATCCGCAACCGTCACCAAACGCCCAACATCTTACTGCGAGCTGGGATTCCGGAGAACCTGAGCGCGCGCGAAGCACGCGGGGTGGTTCTAGTTCCACAGTCGTACTGACAGGCCGCGCCTTCCTTTGCCGCTCTTGATTTTCTTGGTGGTTATTATTATTGTTATTCTCATTATTTTACCATTATGATTAATGCTTTTATGTATTATGATTATGATTATGATTAGTATTATTGTTAGTATTATTTGTATTATTATTATTCTTCTTCTTATTATTATTATTATCATTAGTATTATTTTTTATTGTTATTATTATTAGTAGTAGTATCAGTATTATAGTTGTTATCACTGTTGTTGCTATCATTATTATTATTATTATTTGCCTGCTCCTTCTCCTTGCTCCTGGCCCCCTCGACCCCCATGCCTGATTCTCTGCCTGCTCCCGCACCCGGAGACAGGCAAGTTGTCGTCGGGTGGAGGTCGGAGCAGGAGGAGGCATGCTTCCAGCTTCGGCGTCTCGCCCCGCCTCGTCGCCATTGCCCCTCGCGGCCGTGGGCTCGAGGAGATTCGCCCCCGAGACCCGCAAGCTCGCCCTCGCGGAGTTCGCGGCGCTGCAGCAGAAGATCACGGACGCGAAGACGAAGCTCGAGCCGTACAAGAGTTTCCGGACCGCGCGCGTGCGGCGTTGCCTCCGAGAGCCGCGGTGAAGAGAAAGGGTTCTGAGGGGCAGGCGCCCTACTGTATCTTTCGCCGCGCTCGGCCGCTCGGAGCCCTTCCAGGGCCCCTGGGGCCGCCAAGGGGCCCCCACACGGCAGGAGAGGGCTGCAGGGCACGTAGCGAGCAGGAGGAGGAGGAGGAGGAGGGGGAGGAGGACAAGTTAGGTGCGCTCGCGTCAACATCTGACATCTTACTCCTCTCTCTCATCCCTTACCATGGCGCTGATTTTCTCTATCCGCGGACGCGTGTCGTAGCGGACCTGTGGCTCCGCGCGCGTGTGCGTAGTGAGTGGTGGTGCGCGTGCGTGCGTGCGTGTGTGCGTGTGTTTGTTGTGGTGGTGGTGTGTATGTGTGTGTGTGTGTGCGTGTGTGCGCGTGTGCTGTGGTGTGACGTGGTGTGGCGTCTTGGTGGTTTGGTAGTGGGCCATGTGCGTACGTGCGTGATGGCGGTGGTGGTGGTTGCGGTGGTGGTGTGTGCGTGTGTCTGTCTATGTGTGTGTGTGCGTGTGTGTGTGTGTGTGTGTGTGTGTGTGTGTGTGTGTGTGTGTGTGCGTGTGTGTGTGTGTGTGTGTGTGTGTGTGTGTGTGTGTGTGCGTGCGTGCGTGCGTGCGTGCGTGCGTGCGTGCGTGCGTGCGTGCGTGCGTGCGTGCGTGTCTGTGTGTGTGCGCGCGTGTGATGTGGTGTGACGCGGTGTAGCGTGGTGGTGGTGGGTGGGGTAGTGCGGTGGTGGTGGCGGTGCGCGGTGGTGATACGCGTGCGTGCGTGCGTGCGTTGGTGGGTGGAAGTGGCGGTGGGTGTGCGTGCGGCGGGACGGGGCGTGGTGCGGCGCGGTGGTGGCGGGCGGATGGGCGCGCGAGAAAGAGGCCCGCGCTGGGGCGAGAACGCCATCCTGAACGACGGAGGCGAAACACCGATCCGAAAATGAGGCCCACGCTGCAGCGGGAGCACGATTCGGAACGATTCGGGAGCAGAAATGAGGCCCGCGCCTCAGCGAGAGCAGCATTTTGAAAAACAGCGCAAGCGAAAATCCAACTCCCGGGAATCCTGTGTGTTAAAAAACAGTGCGCGGGGGGGGGGGGGTACGCAGGCCGCCTTCGGGGGAAGAGGGAGATACTATTCATATTGAGTAATTGTGGAGGAGGGGAGGAGGAAAAGAGGAGGAGGAGGAGGAGGAGGAGGAGATGAGGAGGAGGAGGAGCCAGGAGGAGGAGGAGGAGGAGGAGGAGGAGGAAGAGGAGGGCCCCGCGCGTGTGGCGACGGAAGTGCGCGCGCTTTCGCGCGCGCCCCTTTCCTCGAGCAGCGCCTCGCCTTTGGATCTCCCCGCAGTGTGGGAGCACGCCTGCCGCGGCAGACTCCCGCCTGGAGGGGGAGGAGGAGAGGAGGAGGAGGAGGAGGAGGAGGAGGAGGAGGAGGAGGAGGAGGAGGAGGAGGAGGAGGAGGAGGAGGACTGCCCCGGACCCGCACCCGTCGCAGGGGTGCCGCCGCTCTGTGTGCGGGCGGTTCCCGCAGTGCCAGGTCGACCGCGGTCCCCCTCCCCGTCGCCTCCCCCCCATGGCATGGACCGGGAAGGACAACACACACAGACACAGACACAATTAATTGTCGATTCCCCAGAAAAATATTCAAACACACGCACACACACAGGATGATATGGGAAAATATGGGAAGACATGAAAACACACGCACACACACACGCACACACACACACACACACACGCACACACACCCACACCCACACCCACACCCACACCCACACGCACACGCACACGCACACGCACACGCACACGCACACGCACACGCACGCGCACACGCACACGCACACGCACACGCACACCACACGCACACGCACACGCACACGCACACGCACACGCACACGCACACGCACACACACGCACACGCACGCACACGCACACGCACACGCACACACGCACACGCACACGCACACGCACACGCACACGCGCACGCACACGCACACACACACGCACACGCGCACACGCGCACGCGCACACGCGCACACGCGCACACGCGCACACGCGCACACGCGCACACGCGCACACGCGCACACGCGCACACGCGCACACGCGCACACGCGCACACGCGCACACGCGCACACGCGCACACGCGCACACGCGCACACGCGCACACGCGCACACGCGCACACGCGCACACGCGCACACGCGCACACGCGCACACGCGCACACGCGCACACGCGCACACGCGCACACGCGCACACGCGCACACGCGCACACGCGCACACGCGCACACGCGCACACGCGCACACGCGCACACGCGCACACGCGCACACGCGCACACGCGCACACGCGCACACGCGCACACGCGCACACACGCGCACACGCGCACACGCGCACACGCGCACACGCGCACACGCGCACACGCGCACACGCGCACACGCGCACACGCGCACACGCGCACACGCGCACACGCGCACACGCGCACACGCGCACACGCGCACACGCGCACACGCACACGCGCACACGCGCACACGCGCACACGCGCACACGCGCACACGCGCACACGCGCACACGCGCACACGCGCACACGCGCACACGCGCACACGCGCACACGCGCACACGCGCACACGCGCACACGCGCACACGCGCACACGCGCACACGCGCACACGCGCACACGCGCACACGCGCACACGCGCACACGCGCACACGCGCACACGCGCACACGCGCACACGCGCACACGCGCACACGCGCACACGCGCACACGCGCACACGCGCACACGCGCACACGCGCACACGCGCACACGCGCACACGCCGACACTCGCGCACGCGCGCACGCGCACAAGCGCACACGCGCACACGCGCACACGCGCACACGCGCACACGCTCACACGCGCACACGCGCACGCGCCCACACGCGCGCACGCGCACACGCGCACACGCGCACACGCGCACACGCGCACACGCGCACACGCGCACACGCGCACACGCGCACACGCGCACACGCGCACACGCACGCACGCGCACACGCGCACACGCGCACACGCACACACGCACACACGCGCACACGCGCACACGCGCACACGCGCACACGCGCACACGCGCACACGCACGCACGCGCACACGCACGCACGCACATACGCACACACGCACACACGCACACACGCACACACGCACACACGCACACACGCACACACGCACACACGCACACCATTTTCGCGCAAGCGTTCGCATGCCCTCCGCCTCGGCCGTCCCGATGGCCACCGTGCGTGGGGCTATGTGGGCTTGCGCGCCGCTTTCTGCCGCTGCCTCGCTGGTCGAGGCGGCGGCCCGCGGGGCGGCGCTGGCGAAAGCACCCCGCAGGACGGTTGCGGCGGTGGCGCGCGCGGCGGTATCGGCTGGCCTCTTCAGGCTGACCGAGGCGCCTTTGCTACCGGCCGAGGCGCCTGCTGTGGGGCCTGGACCCGGTGGCGCGCCCGATGCGCCGCCTGCCGCCGCCGCGGCGCGGGAGGCGCGTCGGCGCAGGCGTCGACGTCAGGCCGAGCGTCGTCGCGCTGCTGGGGCCCCTGCCGCTGCCGCGGCGGGCGGGGCGGCTGGCGGCGACGACGACGACGGATTGGCAGAGACCCCCGCGGGCGCGCGGGCGGCGGGGGGCCCCCCTGCTGCCGCGGCTGCTGGTGTAGCAGGTGCTGCTGGGGCTGCGCGCGCGGGCCTGGAGCTCGCGCTGCCGGCTGGGGCAGCGCCTGCGGTGCCAGGCATCGCGATGTCGGACCTCGGGTCCGACCTGGGCGACGAGTGGGCGGACGGCTTCATTTCCCGCCAGCGGCGGGGGGGGCAGAGGCGGTTGCAGCCGCGCGTGGGCGGGGGCCCCGCGGCAGCTTCGACGTCGGCGGCGGCAGAGCTGGCGGCGGCGCCCTCGGCGCCTGCGGCTGGCGGTGCTGGCGGCTCGACGGCGACGCTCGACGACGTCCAGGCGCTCGCGCAGAGCTTGCTCGAGCAGGTCGGTGCTTCGCCGTGGCGCTCTACCGAGGTGCGGCGCATGCTGGGGCAGTTGCCGAGCGTGGCCCGCGGCGCGCGACGCTGGCTGGGCCCGCTGGGCTACCGCCAAGTCGGCGTGAGGCATCGGCCAAGTCGGCGCGAGGCGGGCGCTCCTAGGGGGGCAGGCGGCGCAGTGTGTGGGGCGCTGCGCCGTTCGCCGCCTTCGCCGTCGCCGCCTGCGCCTACGACGTGCTCATGGTGCTGGAGGGCGGCTCATCGGGTGTCGGGCTCGGTGGAGGTGGCCTTTGGCTGCCGCGCGCGCAGCTTGACTGCGCGTGCTTTGCGGATGGAAACACGCACACACGCGCGCGCACGCAAGCACGCACGCACACGCGCACACGCGCACACACGCACACACGCACACACGCGCACACGCACACACGCACACACGCACACACGCACACACGCACACGCGAACACACGCACACGCGCACACACGCACACACGCACACACGCACACACGCACACGCGCACGCACGCACACACGCACACGCGCACACACGCGCACACGCGCACACGCATACACGCACACACGCACACACGCACACACGCACACACGCGCACGCGCACGCGCGCACACGCGCGCACACGCGCGCACACGCGCGCACACGCGCGCACGCGCGCGCACACGCGCGCACACGCGCGCGCACGCGCGCGCACACGCGCACACACGCGCGCACACGCGCGCACACGCGCGCACGCACGCGTACACACGCGCACACACGCGCACACACGCGCACACACACACGCGCACACACGCACACACGCACGCACACACGCACGCACACACGCACGCACACACGCACGCACGCACACACGCACACACGCACGCACGCACACACGCCAACGGCCACATACACCAAACGCACGCACGCCAAGCAACACACGCACGCCGCACACGCACGGCGCACACGCACGCAACACACGGCACGGCACGCCGAACGCACTCACGCACACCACACGCACCACGCACACCGACACACACAACGCACACAACACACACACACGCAACACAACACGCCCACACACCACACGCACACACACACCACACGCACACGCACGGCCACACACACAAAGCACGCACACAACGCACACACACACGCACACACACACGCCACACACACACGCACACACACACACACGCACACACACACGCAAACCACACGCCCACACACGCACACACACGCGCACACACACACGCACACACAACGCACACACGCACACACGCACCACACGCACACACGCACCCACGCACACACGCCACACGCCGCCACACACGCCACACAGGCACACCGCACACACGCACACACACACATGCACACACACATTACACACAACACACGCCACACACAGCGCACGCACGCCACAAGAGCCACGCACGCACCAAGCACACGCCACACGCACACACGCACACACGCACAGCGCACCGCACGCACCACACACACACACACGCAACGCACTAGGCGCACACGAACACACGCACACACGCACATACGCACACACACACACCCACACACGCACACCCACACACCCACACACCCACACACCCACACACCCACACACCCACACACCCACGCACCCACGCACCCACGCACCCACGCACCCACGAACCCACGCACCCACGCACCCACGCACCCACGCACCCACGCACGCACGCACCCACGCACCCACGCACGCACGCACGCGCGCGCGCACGCACGCACTCACGCACGCACACACACACGCACGCACGCACGCACGCACACACACACACGCACACACACACACACGCACGCACACGCGCACACGCACACACGCGCATACGCGCACACGCGCACACGCACACACACGCACACGCCACACACACAAAGGCAAACACACACGGACGCCACACCACACACACACCACGCACGCACACGCACACGCAACACGCAACACGCACACGGCACGCGCACACCCGCACACGCACACGCACGCGCCACGCGCACGCGCACGCGCACGCGACGCGCAGCGACAAACGCGGCACGCGCACGCGCACGCGCACGTGCACGCGGCACGCGCACGCGCACGGCGCAACGCGCACTGCGCACGAGCACGCGCACGCGCACGCGCAACACGCACCACGCACACGCACCACGCACACGCACACGACACGCCACACGCAACACGCACACGGGCACACGCCAAACACGCACACGGCACACGCACACGCACACACGCACACGCACACGCAACGCTCACACGCACACGCACACGCACACGCACACGCACCACGCACACGCAACACGCACGCGCACGCCACGCGCACCCACGCACCCACGCACCCACGCACCCACGCACACGCACACGCACCCACGCACCCACGCACCACACGCACACACGCACACACGCACACACGCACACACGCACACACGCACACACGCACACACGCACACACGCACACACACACACACACACGCACACACACACACACACGCACACAATTGAACACGCAAAAAAACACACAGGAAAATATGGGAAGTCGGGGGAAGACAAAAGCCCAGAAAATATTTGAAATTACTGGGAGTCCTGTTATGTGTGTGTACTTATTTGTGTGTGTTCCAGGGCCCCTTCAATGGATATCGCTACAGGATCAGGCTGCGTCCCCAGAGTCTCCCCTCCCCGCCTGCTCTTCGGGACCTTGCCTGAGGTTACTCTAGTGGCCTCCGGCCAGTGCCGCCGGTCCGGGGCGCTTCTGATGCCACTGTTGGGGTGGACGATGGCGACGACAACGGACGACCAGCTGTCGACGCCGACGAACGGGTTAACGACGACGGTTGACGACGACAATGACGACGACGACGGGGGAAAGAGGAGGAGAAGGAGGAGGACGAGGAGGAGAAGGAGGAGGAGAAGGAAGAAGAGGAGGCTGATGATGATGATGACGATGACGGTGAAGTTTACGATTATGTAGTCGCCTTCGGCCAATGCCGCCACCGTGCCTGAGTGATGTCGGAGGGCTCTTCAGTGTTCGTTGGGATCTCGTGGTAGGTCTCTCGGGGGCCTCATGGGTACACTTTTGAGGCATCCTGGGGGCCGTTGTGGGGACCCTCGGGGCTTCTTTTGGGCCTCTTGGGGGCCTCTTCTGGGCCTCTTGGGTCCTGCTAGGGGCCTCTTGGGACCTCTTGGGGCCGTCTTGGGGGCCTTTTGGGGGCCTCTTGGGACCTCTTGGGGCTTCTGGAGTCCGAGGGCTCGAAATTTCCGGTCGGGTTCCCCGTCGGGCTCCCCTCTTGAAGCCGTCTTGAGAGCCTCTGGGGCCGTCTTGGGTGTTTCTCGGGGCGATTTGGGGGGCCGTCTTGGGGCCATTTTGGGAGCCTCTTGGGCCGTCTCGGGGCGATCTTGGGGTTCCGTTGGGGCAGTCTTGGAGCGTCGGGCAGCCGAAAAGGCGGGAAGGCCAGCATCCTTCCAAAACCATCGTAAGATTGATGAGTTAGGCTTCTAAGGGTCCTCTTCTGAGGGCTCTTGGATGCTTCTTGGAGCGTCTCGGCGGCCTCTTGGGCCGTCTGGAGGTCATCTTCGGCATCTTGGAGAGCTCTTTGGGCGTCTCGCGGGCTTCGGGGGCCGTCTTGGGGGATCCTGGGGCCCTCTCGGCCCGTCCTGGAGCCCCCGTGGGCCAGGAAAGCCCCCCCCCTGAAAGCGGACCACAACTCGTCCCCCCCCCCCTCTCCCTCTTCCCCGGCAGAGCCCCCCCGCCCCCCCCCCCCCCGCGGAGATGAAGCTCGGGCTCTAGGCTGTGGGTTGTAGCCGAGACTTTTTCCAAGCCCACACGCCGGATCGGCGGATTTTTCAAGTGCTCTCTGCCTCAATTGCTCGCTGCCATCCGACGAGACCACGTTTGGAGCAGGAGGAGCAGCAGAAGAAGGGGAACGGCAAATTTTGACAGATTTGTCGGGATGGCGTCTTTGAGGTGTCTGGGGCTCGGGGTGCGCGCTTCGTGGCGAAGCGCACGTCGTCGAGTTCGGCCCAGCGATTGTCCAAGAATCATGCCTTCCTGGCGAGTGGATTCCTCTTCCTCCTTCTCCTCCTTCTCCTCCCATCAGGTTGGACACATGCAACCTTAACGGCGAAGTGTGGGGCAGAGCTGTCCGAAAGCCGCATGCGGCTCAAATAATGTGCCGCAGTAGCGTGAGGATGATGAGCCATACTCAACTGATTAGGTGAGAACGCTCGTACAACTCAGAGTCGGATGCAAATAGAAACACACCGCAACATCAGACGTGTGGTGCGCGTCTGTCGCCGTTTGCAGCAGTTGGGGCCAAGGCCGCCCCTCTCCAGGGAGGCCCCGCGTCGATGGCGGTGCCGGATGCGCCAGAGTGTGGCTCGGATGGCGAGGAGGAGGAGGAGGAGGAGTCGGTGATTGCACATCTCTGCTATCGCTTCGACCAAGTCGACGCGATTGAATTTGGTGCAGACCCAATTCGATGCGACCTGCGAGTTCGACTCACCTTGGCCGAAATGCCAGAAATGCCAGGAGGAGTCGGTGGATCAAAGACGTGATATCCTCAGGCATGGGGCCCTGAGGATACGAACAGCATCTAAAGTGAAAGGTTTCCCTGCTTGAGGGCCCCATCCCTCAGGGTCCCACCTTTCTAACCGCCGAAGGAGGAGGATAGCCAGGAGGAGGAGGGCGACACTTCGGAGGAGAGCTCGGGCGAGGCGCCTCCCCTGAACTGTGCTGACCGTGCGTCGCGCACCACGGCGGGCAAGAGTTCGATCTGCCGCGAGGGGAAGGACAAGGAGGACGACCAGGCGTTCTGGGGCCACGCCGACTTCCAGGACGCGTCCTCCGACAGCGACGTCGAGTTTGCGGACGAGGCCCTGGAGGAGGAGGGCGACTCCTCCGACTCCGACTTCGACGCCGAGGAGGAGAACCAGGAGCAGGGCGCGCGGAGGGGGGAGGACGCCGCGGCCGAGCCCGAGGAGAGGGAGAGGAAGAAGACGCCGGTGCGGCCGTTCGCGCGGCTGCGACCCGGCGGTAGAGGCAACCGGCAGCCGCCTGTGCGGCCGGGCGGCGCCGCTGGGCGCGGGCGCGGGCGTGGGCGCGGGCGTGGGCGCGGGCGCGGGCGCGCCCCGCCGCCTCCGTCGGACCGCGCGATTCGCGAGTCGACCCTGCGCAGGCGGGGCGAGACCGAGGCGCGCGTGCGGGAGGCCGCGAAGGTCGAAGAGCCCGGGAGGGCGCGGAAGCAGCCCCGGGTTGCTCGGCTGACGCAGCAGGAGATCGGAGGGCGTCAGCTGGTGCACCTGGGGCCGGTCCAGGCCAGGACCGATCCTGGGCTCAGGATCGGTGGCATATGCGTTCCTGGCGGAGCCAGGGGGGAGTGTGCACTGGCCCTGGGCCCTGGGTGGGCCCAAGGCCAAGGTCGGTGCTAGGTATAGAGCTGGCGCTCTCCCAGGAGAGGCTCGACGAGGCCGCTCGCACGGAGGCCAAGAACCTGCAGGAGCTCCAGGTCTTGCAGGGCAAGGAGGAGGACCTGCGTCAGCAGGCGCGGGGCCGCCGCCAGAGGAGGAAGCGCGAGGGCGCTCTTGTGCGCCTGGTGTCGCGGCTGGCCACTGGTGCGGAGGAGCCCAGGGGACGTCAGGACTCGACCTCACCGGCCCTGGGCCCAGGCTCGTCTTGTCCTGGGCGATGGCTCGGCGTACACGCTCTCCTGGCTTGGCCAGGAAAGTGTCTACACTGACCCTGGGCCCAGGATCGGCCCTGCCAGGATCAGTGAGGTGTACTAGCCGACGTCCCTCGAGAGGAGTGCAGCGGATCTCTGATCGGGGGTCGCGCAGGAGTTGTGAGCTACATCCAGTTTGTCGGGTGCGACCCTCAGGCGCTGCTGCGAGAGCGCGGTGGATAGCAAAAAAAGTGATGTGCAAAGCCGTTGCTCTGAGTTGGCCGAATGCGGCCACGCCTGAGGCTTTTCAGCGGTGCTGATGCGAAGCTGTCTACCCGGCCCCAGAACAGTCTAAGCTAGGAGCCAGAGGTAGACATTGGTTCGCTGCACGGCGTCAGCGAGCATCTGGGCGGTGCGGCCTAATATTACGAGGACGAGGGTAAGGAGGAGGGGAGGCTATGGCGCAGCTTCTACGTGCTAGCTTCGGTGTAGCCATGGTGGACAGAGTATGCCCTCGCTGTTCCCCGAGTGTCCACGAAAGCCATCTGGGTGGTCCTTGCTACTCTCGATGAGCAACGTCTGAGTGCCGCACGCGACTAGATTCCGGAGCCAAGGGGTAGCCCTTCGGTGTGCAGCAGGAGATTGGACACCTGCCCCAAGCAGAGGAGCCAGAACCGATCCAGCACAACCGATATCGAAGCGAGAGTTCGCCGGCGTCTGGTCCTTTCATTCCTCAGGAGGGGAGAAAACACATAGACACAATTAATCGTCGATACCCCAGAAAATATGGGAAAATATGGGAAATGGGAGGAATACAGAAGCCCAGAAAATATGGGAAAATATGGGAATCTGTTTATTTGTGTGTATTTATTTGTGTGTCCTGGGGCCCCTTCATTCACGGCCGTCATTCTTGCGGAGGGGCGCTCGCCTCCCCCTAGCCCTTGCAGCTGGCCTTTTCGGGGTTGGCCGCTGGTGTCGCACAGGAGCAGCGGTTCGCAGAATCTGCAGTCGGAGTCCGGAGAGGGTCCAAGAAAGAGGGAGGGAGCGTTCCAGGCACAGATCGGGGAGGCTGAGTAGTCAGCACCTGGTTAAAACATGACTGATTTGAAGCAACGGTTCGCAGAATCTGCAGTCGGAGTTCGGAGAGGGTCCAAGAAAGAGGGAGGGAGCGTTCAAGGCGCAGATCGGGGAGGCTGAGTAGTCAGGCCCACGCCTGGTGAAAACATGATTCATTTGCTCCCAGCTTTGCGTAGCCATCCTGGGGCCGTGTGCGCTTTCTCAGCGGAAGTTGGCGCGGAAATTCGTGACGCTTCGCGTCTCCCCACCAGTCTCGCCTCCACCCAGTGGTCCAATGCCGCAGGGCGTACACCGAATTCCGTGGCATTTTGCTCTGGGCTGCACGATGCTCGAGCTTCCCTGGGTGCCCGTCAGCCAGTCAGCCCTCACCTTGATGCCCCAGCGGCCGCCTTTGAGCTGGCCCGGCCGGCCTGTTCTGCGCCCTGCAGCTAATTAGGTTTGTTCGCAGCCCCGGACAACTTCTGTCGCCGCCTGCGCTCTTCGCTCGCGGTCGTGACCGAAAAAAGTCTCCCCACCAGGTTAGTGCGCTAGGCAATTAGGTTCGCGCGTAGCCCGCCCGACCTCTGACGCTGCTGGCGCGCTCGCCTGCGGCCGCGGCGAAAAACAATCCCCACCAGGCGTGGCCCTTGGCCTGCTCCTGCTTGGCTTCAGCCTCCACTGGTGACCGTCTGGGTTCCGTGGGGACTTGCTACGGTGCCGTCCTCTTCGGTGCAAGGATTTCGGCATGTGTGGCTCTGGGCGCCCGTCGGCTGCTTTCTCCTTCATGGACTTCGCTTCGACCAGTGCCACCAGGTGTACATACCAGAGGATCTGCCGTTTGCAGTCCTGTCTGTGACGAGGCTGCCCCCTCTTCACTCCGGCGCCGACACGATGCTGTTGTGTCACCTACGGCACGGATGTCGCCCTGAAGTGCTTGTCGGGCTTGCTCGTTTTCGTCGGGCCCTATGCCGACTCACAACGGGTGATCGACCTCTGCGTGTTCATGGTCGCGCCGCCGCGCCATTTTGGCTGCGCCTACTTGATGGTCGCCACCGGGATTTCCACGCCAACGGGTTGGGAGCGCCGCTCCTGGTGCACTTCTGAGTGGTTGCGCGCGCGCGCTCGCTTCGCTTGCCCCTCTCTTTCTTGCTGCCTAGTCGCGGCCCGGCTAGTGTTCGGACGGCTTTCGACTTGCTTCGCGAGCCCGCAGACCAACCAGTATCCTCACCAGGCCATCCAGAAACGAAACCCATGAGAGTTGACGGGGGGACAGGGGAAGAGACACGCAAACTCAAACAGCGAGGGAGGTCGGCCTGGACGGCGTGTTGGGGCCATCTCCGAACCCGCGTGGGGAGGGGGGGCGACTAGGAGGAGGAAAAGGATGATGATGATGAGGATGATGATGCAGATGATGATGATGAGGATGATGACGATGATGATGAGGATGATGATGATGATGATGATGATGGGGAGGAGGAGGAGGAGGAGGAGGAGGAGGAGGAGGAGGAGGAGGAGCAGCAGGAGGGGGGAGGAGGAGGAGGAGGAGGCAAGAGAAAAAAGAAAGAGGAGGAGGAGGGAGGAGGACGAGGATGAGGAGGACGAGGAATTACGAGAGTGAGGAGGATGAGGGGAGGAGGAGGAGAGGAAGGAGGAGGAGGAGGAGGAGGAGAGGAGGAGGAGGAGGAGGAGGAGGAGGAGGAGGAGGAGGAGGAGGAGGAGGAGGAGGATGAGGAGGAGAGAGGAGGGACGAGAAGGAGGAGGAGGAAGGGGATGAAGAGGAGGAGGAGGAGGAGGAGGAGGAGGAGGAGGAGGAGGAGGAGGGAGGAGGAGGAGAGGAGGTGGAGGAGGACGAGGACGAGGAGGAGGAGGGGCAGGAGGAAGAGGACGAGGGGAGAGGACGAGAACGAGGAAGACGAGGATGAGGAGGAGGGGGAGGAGGAGGAGGATGAGGAGGAGGATGAGGGGGAGGAGGAGGAGAATGACGAGGACGAGGACGAAGGAGATGGTCGAGAACGAGAGGAAGGAGGAGGAGGAGGAGGAGGAGGAGGAGGAGGAGGAGGAGGAGGAGGAGGAGGAGAAACAGGAGGAGGATGACAGGGATGAGGACGAGGAGGTCGACGAGGATGAGGACGAGGAGGGGGACGAGGACGAGGACGAGGAAGACGAGGAGGACGAGGAGGAGGACGAGGGCGAGAGTGCGTCTTGCGTGCCTCGGGTGAGCTTCTTGGGCCTCTCGGGGTGCAGCTCCGGGGGCCTCTTGGGTGCCTCTCGGGTGCCTGTTGGAGGCCTCTTGGGGCTTCTTGGGGTGCTCTTGGAGCTCTCTTGGGAGCCTCTTGGAAGCCCTGCAGGGCCTCTTGGTGCCATCTTGAAGGCGGTCGGTCAAAAGAGGGGGGGTCCTCGATGTTTCCCCCCCCCCCCCCCTATCGGGTGCTACGATCCTCGTGAGGGGTGTCAAACGTTGGCCCTCCCAATGGCAGAAGAAGGACCCTCTGACACATCGGTCCCCCTCCCCGAAGGGTTAGGGGGAGGGGGAGGGTTCCCCTCCCCGAAGGGAAGAGGGGTTGTGGAAAAAAGAGGTCTCCCTGAGACCACCTCTCGCCCAAAGGGCTGGTGGGATTTGGTGCAAGCCGTGTTTCCAAATTTCGTAAGAAACTGACCTTTTTGCAGATGTAGACGTCTGGCGACCTCTGGAGAGGTCCAGGGCCTTCCCATGCGGCGTCACGGAATAGTCGCGACGGCAGGTCCTGTGTCATCGATCACAGTTTCCGCGGGCCGTCTTCGGAACCCTGGGGCGTCAAACGCTCATCCGGCACGAAAGCCTGTCCCGGGGAAGGGGCGAGAGGTCCAGGGACCCCGCGCTGAAAACACCACCGCGTCGAGGGCTTGGGAACCCAGACCTCCAGTGTCTCAGCCGTGGTTCTGGCTGCGAGGATCGAGGGTTTTGAACGTTCTGGGCATTTCCTCTGCCCCTGGAGGCCTGCGGACCTCTGGCAGCAAAGACCCACGGGGCTCTCGGGCCTGGCTTCGCGAAGCATCGCGGCGGCCGATGATTCCTCAACTCTGGCCTTGGGGGTCGTCGGGACCTGGGATATTCCAGAAACGATCCAGGACGAAGCGCTGGTCACAGGGAAAGGGGCAAGAGCCATGGGGCTCACGCGCGAAAGAGTCACGACGTCGGATCACGAGCCGCGCACATCCGCCTCCGCCTCGGTGCGATGCACGATATCCCATAGGCGCCCTCCGCGCGGCGCCTCCGCGCACCGCCGCCCTGTGCCCCCGCGGGGCCGCGGCCGAGGAGCCGGCACTGCGAGGCCGGGGGTTGAGGCGGAGGCGTCCCCCGCCCACGAGTCGGAGGGCCGGAGGGGCGCCGCCTGCCGCGCTGCCGCGCGCGCGCGCCCGGGGCCAGGAGGGAGCTGGAGGAGCGCGTCGCAGCGAAGAAGGCGGGCGCGCCCCCCCGCGCGTGCGCCGGCTCCCGCCGGGCCTTGCCTGCGCGCCCGCCCCCCCCCCCCCCCCCGCGCCCGCCCCCCCCCCCCCCCTCTCTCGCTGCCCCTCCGCGGGGGGGGGCCTGGGGGCCTCGCCTCGGAGGGGGGGGGGGGGGTCTGCGGCGGCGGGGGAGCGGCGGCACGGCCCCCGCCCCGCCGGGCACCCCAAACCCACCCCCCTTCCCCCTCCCCCTCCCCACTCCTCCCATCCCCTCCTTCCCCCTCCTCCTTCCTCCTCCTTCTCATCCTCCCCTCCCACTCCTCCTCCTCCTCCTCCTCCTCCTCCTCCTCCTCCTCCTCCTCCTTCTCCCCGAGCGGAGGATCGGAGGTGCCTCGAGCAGCACGCCGCAAGAGAGGGGGGGGGGCGCTCTGCCGGGTGGGCCCTGGCTGGCCCTTGCCCCTCGGTGGCGGCGGCGTCGTCTCTCCTGCTCCTCCCCCCTCGCTCCGAGTCCTGGAGCGTCGCTGCTCTCTCCCCTCCTCGTCCTCCCCCTCCTCTTCCTCTGTCCCACGGGAGTCCTACCCCCCCTGCCCACCTCCCCCCTCCGACGCTCGCTCCGCCCCTCTCGCCTCCTCCTCCCCAGATGTGGTGGCTCCAGTGGCGCGGCGCCTTGCAGTATTGCGCGTCGAAGAGGTCTTCCTCTCGTTGCGCCTTGCAGTACTGACCGTCTATTTAAGCCGTATTCCTCTCGCTCCTCAGTGATAGCTCGCGTCGCTCTACCACAGGGGCTGCTCTTCCATCCGCACAACTCGTTACTCGCAGCTTGGCTGCACAGTCTCGCACACGCAAGCCTGTCATGACGTGCAACGGGGCTGCGGCTTCGGGAGCGCAGACGAATAAGACGAATAAGACGAATACGACGAATACGACGAATAAGACGAATAGGACGAATAAGACGAATAAGACGAATATGACGAATAAGACGAATAAGACGCATAAGACGAATAAGTAACGCGACCTCGTTGTCGTGTGCGAGAGGTTGTGGCCTCGGGAGAGCGCGCCGTGCGCGAGCGCCCCTGGAACTCGAGGCAGTGTGGCAGTGGTTGTGGGGCCAGCATTGTGTTCTGCGTGGGGCTTCGCGCGGATCTTGATCGTTACAGCAACGTGGCCCTAGTTAAAGATACAGGCCTCGGAACAAATTAGCGAACACATGCCACATTCATCCGTCAACGCTTCCCCCTCCCCCCAATGTTCAAAGTTGGTGGTGCGTCTGATGAGATGCTCTTCGACCGCAGTCTCCCCCGCGCGTGCCAACGTTGAGTTTGGGTGGGAGGGGGAGTGTTCAGTAATTGTTTCCCTCTACCGTATGGGGGGCACAGTGGAACACACTGCACTTCGAATGGCCACCAGACGTCGGACTTCCTTCATCCTCGCATCGTGGTGCAGCTGTATACAGCACTGGGAACCGGCACAGTTGCGGGAAGCAGGGCTCCCAGTCCCGCAGCTTGTTGGCCCTCCAAGAGGCCAGCGGACAACTGTTTGCCTTATGTTTGGTTGACCCCCCCTCGTCCTGCTCTGGTCCCTTCGTCCCTCTCCCTGCTCTTCCTCCTTGCTCCTCCTCCGTCTCCTTCTCATCCCCACCTTGCTCCTTTCTCGTTGCCTTCTCCGTCCTTCCACCCCCGCCCGTCCCTCGTGGAGGCGGCGGCAGAGCGGTGAATGAGCGCTACCGCCGGGGTCCCCGCGCGCCCGCGCACGCGCTGGCCCGCAGGCTCTGAGGGAGATCACGGACAAGCTGGCCGTGGTAGAGCTGGAGGCCTGGACCTACCCCGCGTTTCTTGATAAGCGTCGGGGGGGGGGGGGGGCTGCACCGCCCAAATCGGCCCCCGTCAAAGGCAACCACGGCGCGCCAAAGGCGCCCCAGACCTCCGCCGGGGGGATCCCCCCTGCACTTCTCTCGAAGCGCGGAGTGCCCAGATCGAGGATCGAGGATCGGAGGGTCTCCTCTCGCGTGGCCGCGCAGCTCGCGCAGAGGAGGGCCGGGCCCTGCCCATCTGCTCACCCTCGTGGCGCGCCCTCCTGCGCTTGGTTGGGCCACCTGGGCGGGCACCGCCCTGAGGTGGCGCCCGACAGAGCGAGGTACAGTCGGGGCCCTGAAGAAGGAACCCTTTTCGTTGGGGAGGGGCTCCGTGTTCCTTGATTGCTTCACAGTTTGCCTTGGGTTTTCCTTTGCTTTTCGATGGGAAGTCGGAGTTTAACTTGTGGGAAAAAGGGGCCTCGTTCCTTCTTTATCGTTCCTTAGGTCAAGGCCCCGACTGTAGGGCATGGACGCTCCACGGGGCTGCGCCGAGGTGTCCAACTGTTGGAGCGGCGGTCGTTGCAATGGCGCGCCCGCTGTGAACTCCCGGCGCCAGTTGCAGACTTGGTTCTGCAACCACTTGTCGGGGGCGGAAAGGGGTGATGACTAGGGGGGGTGGATATCATGGCGGGGGCCATGATATTTCCCCAGATTTCATGGCGCCTCTTCTTATTTCATTACCTCCCTGGCCCCCCCGCTGGGCCGCGCACATGCCGCCGGTCATGATTTGCACCCCCCCATCTTGGACACCCCCCTCTTGGCCGCTCCCGAATTTGTGAACCCTGACCTTGCGGGCTCAATCGGCGCTGGAGTATCGGACACCCTCGTTGGGATTCGCGTGGTTGCAGGCGTCTTGAATCCTGGCCACCCGCAGGCGCTTCAGAAATCTGGCCAGCGGGGGGAGGGACCACTTGCTGCTGCCTACTGGTGAAGAGGTCCGTGCCCGCGGATCCGAATGCGCCCCAGAGGGCCACCATTCAGCCAGCCTCTCGCCTTCCGCCATCGCCCCTCCAGAGTCGGCGGCGGATGGTGCTTTTGACGCATGGTCGTGGTCAGGTGTGACGAGAAGTTGGCCACAGTGTGGTCTCGAAATGCCACCCTCCAGAGGAGGGAAGGGGGACGGAGTGCGGCAAGAGGGTGGGGGGGGAGAGCAGGACAGGCCAGCTGCAGCGGGAGGGTGGCTGTGGTCCTTGCCGCCCCCCCCCCGAGGGGATCCCCTGGGGGGGAGGGGGGGGGGGGGCATCGGCTTCGGCTTCTCCCAGGCGTGCGAGGAGCACAGCTCTGGCTCCCCCAGCTGCGGCTGGGCGGCGTGCGGTCGGAGGGCCCCTCCGCCCTCCTCGCGGGGGCCGTCCTCCCGGCCGTCGGCCCAGCCCCGCCTCCTGGCCCCCGCACGCAGGCGGAGAAGTCCGTCGGCATGGTCAGCGCCGCGTCCCAGGGGCAGATGTCCGAGGACGAGGTGAGCTCCGCCGAGAAGGCGGGGCGGGGGGGGGAGGATGATGATGAGGAGGAGGATGATGAGGAGGAGGAGGAGGAGGAGGAGGAGGAGGAGGCCCTGGGCGCCCGCCGTCGCCGTCGTCCCCGTCGCCCCCCCATGCGGTGGCAGAGCGGAGACGCCTCGGCTCGGGGGGGCGGCGCGCGGGCGACGCAGCAGGCACGGGGGTCGTCTTCGCGGGCGCTCGCGCGCACGCTGTCCGCGCGAGGCCGCCCGTGGGCGCCCTCTCCTCGACGCGTTGCGCCGCGCGCGGCCCGCGGACGCCGCGGTGGCAGGCCACGATGCCACCGTGCGTCGGACCAGTCTCTTTGCGTTGCTCGTGTGTTGCCCGCCCCCCTTTGTCGGGCCGCTGCCTGGGGCTGCAGGGGGCGAGGAGAGAGGCGGCATCGCAGGGGAAGGAGGATTTTTGACGACTCAGCCAGTCACGGCGCCGTCGGGGACGCGCCTGCTCGGGAACAGGAGCTGCAGGCCACGCTGGCCCAGCACCCGTAGACATTGGGAGCAGGATGAGGATGAGGGAGGAGGGGGAGGAGGAGGGGGAGGAGGAGGAGGAGGAGGAGGAGGAGGAGGGAGGAGGGGGAGGAGGAGGCGGAGGAGGAGGAGGAGGAGGAGGAGGAGGAGGAGGAGGAGAAGGACAGAACGAGAAGGAGGCGGAGGCGGCGGAGGAGGAGGAGGCGGAGGAGGAGGAGGAAGAGGACGGGCCAGAAAGGGTGGCACGGGCCCGAAAGGGCAGTACGGGCCTGCATGATCACAGCACCCTGGCGGCGCCCGACGACGACGACGACGACGACGACGACGACGACGACGCACCCGACGCTCCTCCGCCTCGCCCTCGGCCTCGTCCTCCTGCTGCCCCTTCCTGCCGCTGTGGCACCCCGTGCGTCCCTCCCCCTCTCCTGCTCGGGGGCCTGCTGCCCTGCTGCTCCTGGGGCGTGTCGGCCGGATCCTCTCCGGGGGGGGGGGCCTGCGCCCGCCGCTGCTGCGGCTCCCTCTCCTTCCTCCTCCTTCATCCTCCTCCTCCTTTCCTTCCTCCTCCTCCTCCTCCTCCTTTCCTCCTCTTCCTCCTCCTCCTCCTCCTCCTCCTCCTCCTCCTCCTCCTCCTCCTCCTCCTCCTCCTCCAAGTGGCCGTGTGAGGCTTGAGCAGCCGCGCGCCACTTCAGAAATTCACAAATGCAAGCAGACACAGCAGCATGTCGCCATGTCGTCTGAGTGCTCAGTGGCGCTTCTTGGGCAGATACGCATCGTCGCTTACAACCCCAACAGCGCAACCCGTGGGCGAGCCCAGGATATACTGGATGAGCTGCACAATGTGACGGTGGTGAGCTTCATCGGCACTCAGGAGAAGGAGGACCAGCTGAGGTACTCCAACAGATGCGAGGCAATCATCAGGTGGCTCACCAAGACGCTCGACGCTCTTGCAGGACGCTGGATACCAGTACTAACAATGGATTTGAATTCCGTTTTCACTGAGGAGACAGAGGGAGTTATCGGGCTCTTCGGCCACGGCGAGGATGAAAAGAAATCGGCACAGTTGTTGAGAAGTGTTCTCTCAGCCCACGAGCTCTGCATGGTGAACACAATGAGAGATGCAGGATACACCTTCGTGGCATCAAGTGGTACGACGAAAACGCTGGACTACATTGCACTACCTGCAGCCCTGTTGCCTGCAGTACGATGGTGCACGACATTCAAGAGGAGTATGCGCAGATTGCAGCCGCACAAGTGGGGACGAGAATGGGATCACCTTCCTGTTGGCATCGGTGTTCAATGGTCTAAGCGGCTGGAGCTTATGCCGCATGCCGAGAAGCAAGTTCGAGTGGAGCCGACGGCGGCCAGTGCCCTGCTGCAGCGGGGCTACAAAAGGGAGGAGTTCACGAAGGTGGTCCACGATCATATTTTGTCGAAGGCGGCGCGGGTCAAGAACCAGACGGGTTATACGATGGCGGTGGAGGCTAATCAGTTGCTGGTGGAAGCTTTGAATGAATGCAGGAGCTCAAGCGACATGCACGACGAAGGAGGGCTACACGGAGTCACCCACTGAGTATGCGAATGAGCTTCGAGAGCTACTTCGAGATAGGCCTGAAGTGCGAGACCGATTGGCAGCAGCATACTCATGTGACGATGAGAACCTACAGCTGGAACTTACAATCATAATTACGACGATAAGTAAGTGGTTGCGGAAACACAAGCAGAAACATTGGCGGAGAGTGGAGGAAGATCGAGTGAGGGCCTTTGAAGAGGTCAGAGCAGGAGGTGACTTTCGAGAAGTACACCGGCTTGCAATATTGATAGCAAGTAAGGGACGAGGACCAAGGAGACGCAGCTACAGACAGTTACACACGAGTGGCACGGCCACAGAATGGATTACACGTATGCAGCAAGAGGGTGTGCAAGGTGGGGCTCCAGTGCAGGTGATAAGATACGACGCAATGCTTCAAATGGTGCACGATCTGCCCGAGCAAACCAACACAGTCACGGCCGAGGAAACGCAGGACGACGTGGTTGCATTCAAACTTCAAACATCAGGTTTGGCGGCTCAGATTATGGCGAGTGGCGCCACAGGAGAATATATGTGCTGAGTTTTTGTATTTCATCATGTGGTGCTTGTTTCGTGGGGTCAGAGAGAGAGCGGGAAGTTATCTTGGATTCTATCGGACGCTTGTAAGATTGGCAAAGGCAACGAGAAGGAGGGAGTCGACGGCGAAATATTGACTAAGATGGCACAACATGTGAGCAAACAGGAGAAGCTCTTGTACTTCTGTGGTCCGAACTCAGTGTATCTTGAAGCTAAGTTTTTACGTGAGCAGTGTTCGGACGGTAGAACGAAGGTATATGCAAGATATTTGTGCCCGCACATCCATTCAATATTCGCTCTGTGCGAACTGGAATATAGACTGGCGGCAGGGCGATCGGCATGGTACAATCTTGGACGTTTCTTGAACAGCAAGGTACCGTTTGGCTGGAAGATCAATGTACTCAAGGGCTACGTGGCGAATTCATGCTACAGTGAAGCAGAAGTGCTCTGCGCCAAGACAGGGCCGATGCGAGCACGCGACTGGCAGCCCACTCTCAGCTTCCCCGCAATGCGTGCAAAGATATTGTTGCGGGGTGTTGCACAGGATAAAGAAGACGGTACCATCCGCACCCTCTCCAACCCCCAGGTCTTAGCCCGAGTAAGGCTAGCAGCTCCCCGCGTTGAAATGCGAGTACGACGGCTCAGATGGCTTCAACTGTGTCTTCGGAAACACGACCGATTCGCTCAGTTCCTGGCGGTGGTTTTCGGGCGCTCTCGGGTCGACAAGTACATGGGCGAGGACGAGAGAGCGAATCCGTGGTGTGAGCAGGTGTACGATGACATTCAAACCATAGAGCTTTTCGACGATGGTGCGAGGCTGCTAGAGATCTATGGAGTGGAGGAGATCATTTTCGAGGGGGAGGAGGATTCCACGCAATTGGATGTAGGAGGTATCAAAGCACACTTTTTTTCAAGCCAGTGTGTTATTTGTGGTTCGAATTTCTCGTCTATCGACTACGCTAAGAGGCACATGCACAATAGTATGCTGAAAGGTATATGTGACACAGATCGGGGGAGAACAGATGGCACGATCATCCTCCCAAAAGCTTACGATTGCCCGGCTTGCGAGTATGTTGGACTCGATAACGCTGATCTCCGTAGACATCTACTGGTCGAGCATTTGCAGGCACACCTACACTCACATGTTCTGGAGTTTGAACTACCTGGCCTCCAAGAGGCACTCGGTTATTATGGCGAGTTGGCTTCTTCCCAGCGCTCTCAAGCGGAACACAGAGGGCGGCGGGGCCGACAGAGTGGAAGGCTCGAAGAAGGGCAAGTCCGAGAACGACGACAACCACGCCAATGCCAAGTTGCTACGCCAATTGGAGTCACGCGTTCGGACGCTGGAGTTCGGAGCAGGTCTCGTAGTGTACGGGCCCAGCGACGACGAGAAGATCGGACTGTTGAAGGCGACCAAGCAGGAATATCAGAAACGGGTGGAAGGGAAGGCGAACACGCACGGACTAGGGCCTCCAGGGTTGCAGATTTTTGCCGCGCTTCTGAACGCTTTCAGCGGATGGCTCGACAAGCAGGTGCCATCTCAGGAGTCAGTTCGTCATCGCAAAGACATCCCAGAGATAATGATGTTGATGATGAACAAGGACGGCATGCCGATGGCCAGCATGTGGATCAAGGAGTGCGGCACGTCGAACACCCAGGACAGCGGCATCGGTCGGATCACGGTGAAAGTGTTGGGATCTATGCTGATCCAAGACCCCGAGCCCTCGGCCGTCAACGTCCTCAACCAGCAGAGGGAGAGCTGGGCCACGCTCGAGGACGGGGCCGCGGAAAAGGAGCAAAAGGACAAGACCGCCGCCCTCGTCCTGCGCAGACCGCTGGAGATGATCTTAGGAGGTGGATGAGGTAAAGTAGTGACTTGCGAGCAGATTTTGTATCAGCTATTTCGGGCTTCTGGTTTCAACAATAAGCCAGGTCGGCCCCCCCGTGGAAAGTTAGTGCGTCTTGTAAAGAATGGCAAGTAGCCTGTAGGGGTTGCGACACCTTGTGCTTTTCAGCCGCCCTTGCACGATGGGAGTGGCCTTTGTGTCCCCGTCGTGCTTGGGGTAAGCTGAGGGAGCAAGGCTTCTCAGCCAATGCCCGCCCCGCGTGGGGCATTCCAGCGAAGTGCTGGGTGCCGCTCCACCGCTTTCGAGAGCCCCTCTGGACATTTTTAGGGCCCAGTCGGCCCCTGTCCGCAGCGTTGTTTTCACCTTTTCAGGGCCTCTCGGGAGCGTGAGCACCCCCAAAGAGAGAGATCTGGCGAGAAGAGCCGTGGCCCAGAGCGAGTAGTCAGCAGTTCAGACTTGTGGAGCTCGAGTGGGTAAGACAGACAGACAGACTCCTCCTCCTCCTCCTCCTCCTTTCCTTCCTCCTCCTCCTCCTCCTCCTCCTCCTCCTCCTCCTTTCC